ATGTAATCCTCAAAACCATCCTGTGAAGTAGTTATTCTTACATGGAGGAGGAAATGGAGGCAGAGAACTGAAGTAGCTTGTCCCCAAATCACAAAACTGACAATGTTTATTGTGCCATTCCCTGTGGTGAGGTTTACAAAGGTTATCTCATGTAATCCTCAAAACCATCCTGTGAAGTAGTTATTCCTACATGGAGGAGGAAATGGAGGCAGAGAACTGAAGTAGCTTGTCCCCAAATCACAAAACTGATGAGTGATGGAACCAGGATCCCAGCATAGGTGGTCTAACCCCAGAACCTGAGTCTGAAAGCCACTATGTTACTCTTTACTCATATCAAGTTTTACATTAGGATTGCCCTGGGTTAGATACAGGTAAAAATATTAAACTCATTTTAATTGCTCGTCTATTTGGGTACTTGGAAGTATCAAAACTTGCAGTGTGACACTTGGAATCCTTTATAAAAATTAATCAGTTGAATCTATAAAGCAGTTACATCTTTCTATAAAACAGTTCAAGATATAGACAGTGTTCAGAAATCAGGTATTTCTTCTCCTCTAGAAGTCACTGAATTCTTCTTCAGCTTCATGATTTCCACTTTTTAAAAAAAACTTATTGTCCAATTTGATGACCTCCTCTGATATCACCAAGTCCCTAGAAGAAAATACACATGGCTCCAACACCTGCTTTGCTCTTAAAAATCTTTTGCTTATGCAATTAACAATTGGTCAAAGATACTGCGGGGATCTATGATATATCCTACCATGGAAGGTTTGTCGTGGGTCCTGTAGGATGGTTTCGGGGATGGTGCTAATTATTTTGCTGCTTTTGTGTATGTCACTGGCAATTTTTATAATCCCAAACATTGTGATCAGTTTCTACAAACTGCAAGTTGCCATGATAAACTCTACTAGAAATTATTGACAATACCTGATGTAATACCAGGTTGCAGTAATCTGCAGAACTGAGCTTATCTCGCTTGACTGTTCTCTATCAGACAGACTTCAAGTCGCCAAGTTCACAAATATTCTGGAGAACCCCCTTGAGTTCCAAATGAATGTCCTTTGACTCTGCAGAAGTGAAGAGGACTTGGCACAGCTTTCTGCTAAAAGGTGCCCTAATTGCCCCCCATCTTTGCCACCCCCACCTTCACACTGGGGAGCTCACTTCTAGTCCTTCAGGGGGTATGTTCTCCCAAGCTTCAGATGCCTAAATGATTATTTATCTTTTCCCCATTGTAGTACTGCTTTATCCTTTTTTTCTTTGCTGTTATTACAGTACCTGCTACCTATAACCCTCATGGCCGCTCTGCTTTCTCTGCCTGCCACTCCCATTCGTAGTTTTCACTTTCTCTATTCTCTTCTCTCTCCTCTCTCCATTCCCTGTTGCTCTTTTCATGCTCCTTGGCTTTGGGCTGAATGGAGCATCCATTCAAGTGCTACTTCTCAATGTGGCCCTATGGAGTGGCTCCCACCCCACCCCTGCTTTGGAGAAAAACCTTCTTGAAACTACCTAGCAAGTTGGCAGGGGTGTGAACAAGTGTGTACAAGTGTGAGCATTTTTCTGGAGAGAGGACCATGCCAAGCCCCGTGGACTGCCCACCCCCAAACAATTCGCATTCCCTATGCTCTTGACTTCCTTTGCCATAGAGGCTGAAAAGCTCAAATTTTCAATTTTCCAACTTTCCTTGTTCTGACCAATGAAAAGAAAGGCATCCCTTCTTGGAAAAAAAGCAAAGCCTCAGTGGCAGAAAACTATTTGCGCTTCATTTTTCCCCACTGTGCCCACCTGGAAGGTGAATGTAAGACACAGACACACAGCAGCCGTCTTGAAACGTGAGGCTGCAGGCCTGAGGGGGAAGCTAGTCCTTGAGGGTGCAAGAGCAGAAAGCTGGAGAGCTTCAGTCCCTTGAACCACCAACCTGGCTCTGAACTCTCCACCTCTGCACATATTGTTATGTGTTATGAAATATACTCACACACACAATTTTAAAAATAGGAGGTAAAAATATAAATATACATTCTAAGATTTTCTTCCTGTTCTCTAATTTCCCTTGCATACATTCTAGGGGCAAGCATCTCATTTTGGAGACCTCTGCTAAATAACCATGGTATTACTATTAGTGGAAACCAACAAAACTTAAATAGCATTGCTGAAAAAGGTGGGTGGGGTGGGGGGTTGGAGGGGAATACCCAGAAGAGTACGCCATAAGATAGGGTGATAGTGTGAGGTCATTTCTGTTTTTCATGTAAGTGACTGGAAGGACATACATAGAATGTTAATGGTGGGGGGCCGGCCCGGTGGCGCACTGGATAGTGCGCCGCTTGGGAGGCGCGGCAGCACTCCCGCCCGAGGGTTCGGATCCCACATACGGACCGGTTCCCACTCACTGGCTGAGCAAGGCTCGGGAGCAGCGCCAGGGGTTGCGATCCCGTTGCCGGTCCCCGGTCCGGTACGGGGGCAACACTGAGGGTTGCGATCCGTTGCCGGACACGGAAAAAGACAAAAGACAAAAAAAATGTTAATGGTGGTAGACTTTAAACTACTCTATATTCATAGTTTTCTGCATCAGCTATGTATTAATTTGCAATAGTTAAAAACAATAAAAATAAAAATAAATATTTTGGGATATTTTAAAAATCCAATAATTCAAAACAGGCCCTCCCTAACTATCAGAATTTACTTTTTCTTTCACTGGGCTCTCGTCATGGTCCTGAGTGTCTCCTTGCCCTGATCAAACATGCTGCACCTCAAACATGTCTACTTAGGCCATGTGTCCCCCTGCAATGTCAGCCAGGCAGGTGTAGTGGTGAGGACAGGGGATGACGGCTCACTTCGGGTGGCCTCTAGCCAGCCCTGTGGGGAAGGGAGGGTTCGAGTGGGGGAAATGAACATGACCCTTGGTGATTACACCACACTCCCACATGTCAGTGGCCTTTTCCACTTATCACAGAATTGCCCTAATTCTCATCCCTGTCAGAGAATGATGGGTGGTGAGCCCTGGAGCAGCATTTAGTCCACTTTTGCCTTTTCAGAGATAGGAAAGAGCAAGCTCTAAAATATGAAGGGTGTGCCCCTGGTCAAAGAAGACAAATCACAGCAGAGTGGGGACTAGAACCCATTCAATCGTCAACAACCACCACCATCACTACCACCCTGACTGCCAGTAGAATACTGCCTGAAGGCTGACCATTGCCCTGGGTACTGCCCAGGTAGTCTCTCTTCCTTACAAAGCCCTATAAGGTAGGTGTTGTCACCCCATTTGGAAGCTGAAGAAACTAAGGCTCAGACAAATCACATGATTTTCCAAGGCTAGAGAAAGCAGATTCAGAAGTGGAGGCTTTCCTCACCACTTCAGGTGACTCAAGACAGTGTCTGATCTGTCGAGATGAGCCTACATGACAGCCTCCCACAATTCCTGTATAGGTGTCCTTAGCTACTGCAGCCTCCAAAAACCCAATTCAGAGCCACATGCCTCTCCTCTTCGGTGCAGGGAATGCTTCCTGAAAGAGCCTGTTCTCTCAGCAGCTGGTGACATTTGATTTGATTAACACCCTGGGACCTATCACCAGTCTTAAAGATGATGCCTAATTAATTGCTTACATTACAGGGCTGGCACTTTCTACATTCAGTTCACACTTCCAGTCTCAATCATGTTTTCATTTCAGCAATAATATTTACATGATTAGCAGATAGTCAATTCATACTCTAGTGTGGACCTAAGCTGTATGTGAGACTTCCCAAAGCAGATGTCCCTGACAGGTGTAAAAAAAAAAGTCCATTTTTTTTACAGCAAGAGCCATGAGCAAGATCTGCTTGCTTTTCAATGTAAAATCATGCTTGGATCAACAAATATCGCTTGAGCACTGACCTGATCTATATGCCAGTCATTACATTTCCAAGGCCTTATGGGGGCTAAAAAAGAAATGCACCCACTGAAAAGTCACATCAGACTTAGTTTTCAAATTTTTTCCCTTTTTATTTATTTGCTTTATTTTTTGGTCTAGTATCTAGATGCATAGGTTAGGAAAAGGCATTCTGAATTAGACATCTGAAGTTTCAAAAGGCATTTGCTAAGGTCTCTCAAGAGGTTTTCATGCAAAAGCCAGACACATAAGGTCTGGATGATACTACAATTAAGTGAGTATGTGATGTTTAATGACCCCCCCCACAATATAAATCGAGGTCATACTGGAAAGAAGCAATGTGCCACAAGACTGTTCTATGCGATATTTTAACAATTAAGTGAGTATGTGATGTTTAATGACCCCCCCACAATGTAAATCGAGGTCATACTGGAAAGAAGCAATGTGCCACAAGACTGTTCTATGCGATATTTTAAATCAAGAATTTGGATAATGACACAGAAAAGCAAGATTATACCTTCTAATAACAGGAAGTTGGAAGGGATAAGCCAGCATTTTGGATGAAAAAAGTTCTTGATGGACTGAACAATGGGTTGAATCCTAACATCATTGAATTTAGTAGGAACAAATGCCAAAGAACCACCAGCACAGGTACTTCACAGGGAAGATGTGGCTTGGTGTCATCATGAGTGGACTGCAATCAGCCACCAGTGTGATCTGAGGCGATGGTGTGATATAGGCCCAAGTCACCAATGCATCTGTTTGGCTGCACTTGTAAAGTACCCAGACTTAAGATATGGATATTGTTCACATCAGTACATTTTTGAGAATGAAAGCTTTGCTAGTGATAATTCAGCTTGGAAAACAGGCATAAACTTGCACTCCTGTGTAATCTGGGACCTATGTTAGCTAGTTAAAGAATGTAGACAAGTTGGAGGATATTCAGAGGAGAGACTCAAGGAAGGGAAGGGCCTCAAAGAAATAGACTATGATCAATCTTTGAAGAAAGGGATGTTCAGCCTAGAGAAGTCTGAGTTTTATATGAAAGCCTTTCTTGAGATATTTAAAAGTGGCATGTGGAAGAGGGATGGGACTTATGGATTATGGGTCTTGAGGGATTCTATTACCAGGTATCCAAGTGCAGGGAAAACGGTTGCTATCAAGGTTACTCCAGGCCAAGAAGAAAGGAATGAAAGCCGACCTCCAACGCTCGATGTTACAATTCTACAAAACAAAATCGTAGAACTTAAAAGAAGCCAAACCTCAAGCCCCCGCCCCCTTTCAATTCTTTTTTTTTTTTTTTTTTTTTTTTTTGCCATTTGTACTTTTTATTTAGATTGCAGGCAATCTGTAGATTAATTTAGGGATAATTAACATGTTTACAATATTAAATCTTTATATCCATGATCATGTTATATTTTATATTCATGTAGGTGTTCATTAATTTATCTAAATAGTATTCTAATATTTTTTCTTTAAAATTTTTAAATGTTCTTTGGCTATATTTAATCTTAGATATTTGGTATTTCGTATAATATTTTACAAGTTGCATTTTGGTTACTTCCATTATTACTTCATAGTTTTTCTTGCTACAGAATGAAAGTTTACTTTTTGTATACTGAGGTTACACTTAGCAACCTTCATAAACACTTTTATTGATCGAAATGTTTAACTTCATTTCTTTCGGAATTTTTTCACACATAGTCTAATCATCTGTTAATCATGGACTTTTTAAAAATTTCTGATCCCTGTCTCTTATTTCTTCTGCTGCTTCCTGTTACTACACTGCATAGTCATTATACCAAAATGTTGAATAGAAATGGTGATGGCAGGAATCCTTGTCTAATTCCCAATTTCATAGTAAAAGCTTTCAACTTTTCCCCATATATGTGTAAGGTTTGCTATAGGTTTTTCATACATATATTTCATCTAGTTGGCTCCATTTTCTTTTTTCTGTTTTTAATAAA